GGCAATCTGCAATGTATAACATAGGCTCATTCTCGGAGACGAACTGACGTCTGAGCTCCAGGGGACTAGGTACAGGTGTCTCAGCAATAAGCCCGTATTTGCAGTCAAGATAAGCTTTCTCTTCACAGGCTGTAACCATGGCATGAGTGGCGATCAATAGGCCTTCTAGTGCTACAAGAGCCCTTTGTGGACTCATTCGAGCCGTGGTGCTTACCACTACTACTACTACTACTACTATTACTACTGCTACTACTACTACTGCTACTGCTACTGCTACTAATACTAGCCGTAGCAGAGTAGTGCGGTAGCATAGCAGAAGAAGGAGTTGAGCCTTGGAAGGGCTTGGAAATGCTCAAAGTTTTGGTAGTGCCGCCCGCAATGAACAAACTAAATTTCAGGGACCACCTTAATCTTCACCTAAACATTTGTGTTTCAAGTCGTCTGGTAGGAACTCAAGAAAGCCCCTTTGGGCCCTGTGGCTGTTGTTTGTTGGTTTCTTTTTTTTCTTTTTAAAGAAATGAAAACGGAAAGAGGATACCTTACACCCGGGCGTGTCATGAGTCTCTGGGGGACATTGACATAGCTCTGCGGATGTGGAAATTGCAATTCAAAATTGAGATCATGGACCTCGCAAGCTGCATTGGTTCTACACCGTAGAATCATTACAGTGATCCGATGTGCACACTTGACATCACTTGACAAAAGCAACCTAGAGTAGCATGTAATTGGAGAAATTACGCCCCTAAGATACCGTTCCATTGAACCGTCTGGCTTTTCTCGGAGACTATCTGCCAGCCCAAGAATAGCCCAACCCCAGGTCAAGACAAAGAGCGAAGATTTTTCTTGATTCTGCACTTTGGCTTAATTTGGCAGGGCTTAAGATTACGCACGAGCCATGGGGACTTTCCAAGTCTCGGCGTCTATAGGATCTTTGTTTCTTTGTTTGCTGGTTGCGCTGCTCCAAAACAAGAATGCGCACACATCTCTGTGCATATAGATCCCAGGGACACCAATGTTTACAAAACATGGACCGGTGGGCATAGGTCAGGTGGGGGCTATGATGGACTAGGAATCTGTCCGGGCCCGTATCATAATATGATAGCCCAAATCCAGTCCCTCACCCCTAGCTTGACGAGGCAACCAAAATTAAGGAAATCAACGCGCGAGGTAATGCCTGAAAGTAATGACATTTAAGTGACGAGGTCAGTGGTTCGAAATTAACGAAACTATCCCAATTTGTACAGTTCATATGCCACTCTTGGGAATTCACAGCAACAAGCCACGGACCACTAGCAACACTAGTAATAGGACGAGTTGATTGTGGCGAATGCAACAGAAAACTTTTCGGTGTCATTGTAACTATGGGATGTTGCACGTCGTGATTTTCAAATCGGCTTGGGCCCCCGAGCCAGACCTTAATGAACATAACTCACTGACGCTTCATCCTTGATGTCCAGATTGGTCAACAGCAAGGGTGCATGCTTGCCCCTCACAATGTGGTACGGTTCGAGATGTATGTCTGTAGGCGGTGCGTTTTTTGAGCGAAGCACGCGCTTCTCAACATGCAGTTGGTTCCGAAGCTGAGGATGAATTGGAAGGCTTAGCCGAAACTTGGCAAGCTTCATGTCAATCTGCGGGTTATGCGCGCGAAAGCGAAAGAGTGCAGGCAAGTGTTTGTGCAGCTGCGACCATGTTGTGTCGCTTGCATTGTTATAGTTCTCGGTTTTTCTCGGTCCTTGAGCCTTGGCCCAAAACTACCTTTTTTGCCAGCTGTTGGTCGTAGACTGCGGCAAGCTGACCAGTCAGCATGCAGAAGCGAGAAGCCAAAAAGGACATCGGCGATATCGTGAAGAGCCAGACGGGGACCTTGGTGATCGTAGCGACGAAGCTGGTTCTCACTCGGCCCTGGTGTGCCGTGGAGAGACCTGGACCTGGACACTAAAACCTTCTAGAGCTGAATTGGGTCTTGGAATTCCTGAGTGGCTCCGGAGGTCAGGACATGCTTGCTATGTTCGCAATGTAGATGAAAGATTTGTGGCACGGTTCTGCTCGGACTATTGCATTGCAGACACACCCAAGTCACCCAAGGATTACCAGCGCCGTGAACAACAAGGTAGATATCACAATGGCCTCTTGGCAGATCAATACGGCAGAAAGTTGCATAGCACAGACTGTTGGGATCTTTGGGTGGAAGAAAAAGCCTCGGCCGTGATGCTGCTGTCATCAGCTATTGTCAAAGTGCGCCAGCTAACACACCTCTTGCTTAGACAGGGTCGTTATCCTGAGAGTGTGTGACGGCAGTTTAACTGCACATGGCTCACTTCACGGACTTTGTTGGCATCAATCACTGCAGGTAGAGTGTGCGGACTTCAGCCATTATGATGAGGAGGGCTTCCAGAACTTACGTGAAGGCAGCGACACGGGGACACGATTGGAAGAAGAGCACAGCCTTCCAGCCTTCCTTGGGCTCAGCCAGCAGCGGCTTGCGATCATGCAGGAGTGTTTTCCGGGTTTGTCAGGCCTTGTCGACATTCTAACGGAAGCCTGAAGGACCATTCATTTGTGTCAACCCCTCCTGCACTGCCGCTGATGGTGTGCTTTTTGTGCAGGTTGGGGAAATGCGGACATCATGATCTTTGCGCAGAACTCGATCGACCCAACCATCATTGAGGATGTGTGTGCGTGTGTGCGCGCTGTACTGAGCTACTTACTTGCAGGTTCCTCGGTAATCAGGAATCTAGGCGGTACTCGTTGCCACAACCACGACCAAGATCAAATAATACAACAGAAACAGTCATACTCTCGGGTGTACCCGCAATTCGAAAACTTGGTGAAGCTTTCCTCGGCCTGCTGAATCCTTCCCCAAAGTCAGAGAAGTTGCCTGTTGCGCTTCATGGCGAGGACTGCTACCGTCACTTGCTGTCTGTGACCCGGATTTCTTTCGATGCCAGAGGGCCTCCACGCGACTTGAAAGAAGTTCAAAAAATAATCACAACTTTTGGCAATGGCACAGTGCACATTCACATTCTCATATATGTTCAGACACACATGCACATACAATGTGTGTGCAAGTTTTATTTCCCGAATGCCCCTGTGCAAGAAGCCTACATGCTCCTACCCTACATCAATGCAACTGTTGCCGCCTTCACGTGGCAGATGCCACGCCGGAGAGCTTCGTATCATAACCAGGGTCTACTCCAGCTTGTGCCTGAAGAGTAGGGGACCTGGCGAGGCGGTCCAAATAACATCACATTTGGGACAGCCCATGCATGCCCATGCGAGGTTGCAATGGTTTTAACAGGCTTTGAGCTGAGGAAAGCATCAAGAAGTGGTGGCGAAAATTCTGAAGATGCAAGGCTGCACTAGCGCAGAAACGATATTGAGTGCTGTTGAGGGCCTCAGGATTGTCATGACACAGCAAAGTCTGTAACAGCAAACGTACATCTCGCCGGCTGCCTTATACAGGTGCTTACATGGCTAGACAGGATTTCGGGACTTATGCCACGCGCCTATGAATGATATGGTCAAGTGAACAGCGGTTCCTATGTAGGCTGCCAAGTGCGCTTGAGCATGAACCTGGCAATGATTCTGGTGAGCTGCAGAAGACTTCAAGACAGCATGGGGATGGCAGCGCTGGAGAAGTAGCAATGGGTTTTTGCTTGTCCGTTGTGTTCGTTACAAAACTTGCAGCATGATATTGGGTACCCAAAGTCCAATTCCTTATGCCTCAGAACCTAGGCAGCGCATATTATGTCACCACAAGGGCCCGCTGGTGTAGGACTGTTTGACCACTCAGGCTTGCGAGGCCAACTAGCTTCTGAACATCTCTTGTGGGGATTGCAAGCTTTGACTTGTTGACGCACTCTTGGAGACCAGTTGGATCTAATTTGATGTTGGGGGATGTAGGCGTGCCGTGGGAGCGCCTGGGCTTCATGAGTTCTGTTGCTGCAGTGAACCTCGAAGTACAAGCCGGGCTAGATTTCGGAACGTGCTGAGGCTGCCACCCCCGAAGGTGGAGGAGGCCAGCGGCCAGCGGCTGTCAGAAAATTTCGCCACATCGCTATCCCTACGTGCTACTTCCTGGAACAACATGCAACCTCAAGCACGAACCTGTCATAAGTAGGACACATTTTCTCGAATGTCCAGCTCAAGCCACAAGCAAAGAAACACAATTGTTGCTCTAGCTAGCAGATTGCTCAGCGCCTCTTCTCGCTATTGTGGGCTCAATCTAGCTTCCCATAGAAAAATCTGAGAAATGTCAAGGCGGTCGATTCATGCTGGTGATGGTATGTACTTTTATATTGGACTGCATCAAGTATGTTGCTTCAGGTGAAGAAACCCAATACCCGCACACTTGCAAGTCCAGGCAAGTGGCATCCCAGCATGAAGTGGGGTGTCCCGGCTACAGGGTCGCAGGTTCGCAAAGTTGTTTGATCTGGACCGGGGCATCGCGATCATCAGCGGCCAGCTTGGATGCGAAACCTTTTTGCCAGCCTTTCTATTCCAAAAGTGGACTGTCCTGTCATCCATTGTCATCCCAAATCCACCTTCAAAGCCCAAATGATTGACGAGGTTCAGCACTTGTTCCGCCAGAACAACAGAGACAGACATATTGGCTTCTTCGCAGAAAAGCTGCAACACAGCGGCTGTAGTAGCCAAGGGAACCATCTTCTAATGTTGCAGAAGCTGATGAAACGGAAGCTGAGAAGCCATGCAGGACACCACATCCTCAATTAACAACATTTCTGTTCAAAAAGGTGGAGGAACATCACAAAGGCTTTTTTCCAAATGCAGGCACGTTGCGCAGCATGAGTTCTGCAAGGCCGTAGATCATGCTGCGTTTTTCCGTGTTCAAACGGGCAACTCCCGCCGAGATGTTGCAATGAACAATTGGTTGCCCGAGGAATGCTGAGTGACCTTCTCCTTGAGCATTCACACAAGCACTCCTAGAAGCTGGAGGGTGGGTGGTGCGTTTTTCACGTGAGAAACATACGTACAACGCCTCCGCTTGAGGTTCGAGGCTCATGGTGGGACGGTGTAAATAACACCGCCCCGGCGCCGGCCCCTGCACTCAACAAGTCGGAGGAGCAGGCAGAATGTAGCCTTTGAGACCGATTTTCAGGTTCCTGCGCTTGGCGCACAACGAACAAAATTCAAGTCTTGGTCTGGCACTGCTGACAACCTCGCAGAGATTCACCCTACGTTCCGAACTGTCCATTGTTGTTTTGAAGCATGTTTAACACTACACCAGGATGGGCAGCCCTTGTGCGGTTCGTGCCTCCCACAACTAAATCTTGCAGGTTCTCAGGATTTTAGGACATCGAAGTTTGCGGCCCTGCTCAGGAAAGAGCCCGCGCAAGATTCCCTTGAAAGGAAGATCAGGCAGGAACCTTCATATTTTATAAACGGGGGAAGACTGCCAGGACGAGCAGGATGCTGATATCGTCGTCCTCGGCTCCTGCAGCAGCTCCGAGGGGAAATTCACCTGCCAGGCTGGTTCCGTGATCACACTCCTGCGCAAAAGACTGAGATCAGCATCTCCCGGAAGTTAATAAGATTCAGACAACTAGTTGCTCATTCGATGGACTGCGTGCTGGATGCTTGCTTGTTTTCCTCAAGTTGGCTTCTCGGCTAGTTTGTAGGAAGTCTCTTATCGAGATACGCTCACCCCAAACCGAGCTAGTTTCTCACTCTACTCATACGACAGCGTGCGCTGGATGTTTACCTGCTTCCCCAACTGGGCCAATGGGCTGGTTTGCAGGAAGTTCCACAACCAAAGACTTTTGTTTGCTCCAGTCACTCTGCTTTGCTCATGCGGTATGTTCTTGCTTGGGCCTCTTGTAAGGGATCCTGACGTCAGCATCATTGGAAGAAGCTTGCTTTGGATTTGAATACTTTCGGGCTGTAGGAGTAAGGAGAACTAAGACTCACAAGGATGACAGAGCGTGCGTAGGACTCGGCATTGAGGAATGTGGATGTCGGAAGGCCGTCTTCATGGGACCTCTTGCAACAAGCGCCGCAATTCAATGCTGCTGACCTATCGCGTGCTGCCCACAAATGCAAAACATCAAGATCAGCAGGATTGTCAGAAAATGTCAGAAATTACCCCATGAAGCCAGGGTTTCTCTGGATGGTGAGCTGAGTTCTTGGTACGGACCGTGTGTCTTCTTTCAGAGTTGATTGTTGCCGCGTAGATACGGTGCATCGTGTCAAGAGGTCATGCTCGGACTGCTATGGCTAGGGGGAGCTACGACGTGTTCATATCCACAGGACTCAGGCTGGTCTTCTCCACAAGAACCTAAGCGTTTTGCAAGCACAGATAGGTTCCATGTGTCTTGGCGCATGCAGGCTTTTACAGTTTTACTGCTTACTGTGACGTAAAGAAGTTGAGGAAAGCTGGAACGCCTGCGCTTTCACAAGTAAATTCAGTTTTAAGAAGTGCCTGTATGGCTTGATACTTGAAATGGCTCCAGTGGCTTGCTGGAGGAGTGTAGTCCCGCAGTCCACCCCTGCGCCAAGACAGCTTTGTGCATGCGATGCCCAAAGTGGCGATTTCCTGCAAAGAGGTCCTGGCTGACATGGTCATCCAGCGAATAGCCAAGCGGGCTGTGGTGGCCTGCAGCGTTGACAAAGCTTTGGTGGCTGGGGCGACCCTTGCCGTGATCGAGAAGCGTTGAACCAGCCAGTAGCCTTGACGACATTCCCTAGGAGAGACCTACGTCTCCGCTTTAATTTTGCAATCCAGGAAATATGGCCGCTGCGTACTTTTAAAGCCTAACTCCAAACAACGGGCTTGATTTCGTCGACTTTTGTAACATATGCATGGATGGATGGATGGATGGATGGATGGATGGGTGGGTGGGTGGGTGGGTGGATGGATGGATGGATGGATGCATGGATGGATGGATGGATGGATGGATGGATGGATGGATGCGCGTCTCCAGAAAGATGTCCATACATCGCTCTGCGTCTGTGTATGAATGTGTTGGTGTATGTATGTATGTATGTATGTATGTATGTATGTATGTACAAACAAGGTATGAAGCACATCTGAATGGCTCCTGCTTTGACGAGAACACCTCAGACTCATTTGACAAAGGTTCAGCCTTGGTGTCGTGAATCGTAATTGTTGCAGTAGCCCCATGGTCTCAGTTCGCGCAGGAAAGCGAAGCTTGTCGCGGAGCGAAATATTTCAGGTTACGGTGCGCATGGGAACAGGTTCCAGGTTCGAAAAGGACTGGGCAACCCGGACAAGATTTGCTCGATAAGGTTGCGCTGCCCGAAGCTTTTGCAATGCAAAGACGCAATTAGGGTTCATCACCCTGAAGAGTAAGCAAATGGCAACTTTCAACCCTCACCTTTCAGTAGCTCCTCCTCAGCAACCACACGCAAAGGTGATTGATGTGATTGCTTCCCATGACAAGAGTTAGCAATACATTCGAAGCAGCTGCTCACGAACGCTAGCCTCAGAAGTTGCTCAAAACAACAGGCGAGTTGTTTCTAGTATGGTTGTCCTCGACCCTTTCCCAAAATGTACCTTCATGGCTAAACTTCCGTTGCATGCCCCCTCCTCTAAGTTCACATAATTTCACATAGAAACTCACACACGCCTTCTGTGACAGCATGATCTGTGGGAGCGGATTAGTTTCTAGGGTACTCAACGAAGCACCAGACAAGCACTAATTCAGTTCGAAGCTCAGGACAGCGCAGTACATGCTGGTGGTGCTCAGTGCCGGCCTCCTTGGCGATGATGCCTTCTTGGCCATGTTGGAGGCGTAGAATTTCGAATTCAGAGCTGTTCTCAACCGGTGCTTGTATGGAAAGATGCGTAGGGTTTCTTAAAATCATCTAGACATACATCCCGAGAGAGCCTCTGTCTTGCAGAAAATGCCCGAGTTGCACGAAGAATTCCACAGTTACCTTCGCCCGCTTGTACCTACCCTCGCTATGACACCTGCCCATAAGCAGCATCTGCTACATGAACTTGTTTGAAAAAGCAAGACGGAAAGATGGTCTGATAGGTTGGCTTTGTTTGTACACTGTAAACGAAATTGAGCAGCACCACGAAACCCAAATCTAGAGGTCAACACGAAACACAAGGACAGATAGGCAACAATTCCGTGCAAAATCAAAACGACTTCCGGAAAACTGCTTATTTCGTTGGTGCTTATGTTTTTGTGGGTCGTTGTTGTAATAGTCCTCGGTTTTTCCTTTGTGTATCTGGTGCTTTTGTGGCTCGCGCTCAAGTCGTACTTGGACTCAACATCTGTCGTCCGCAAACTCTTTTCACCGTATCGCGGAAAGCCCAAGAATCTACAATCCAGGATACGATGCTTCTGGGCTCTGTTCCATTCGAATTTCAAACGGCAGGTATCCCCGAAAGCCTGCAAGCCAGGATTCAACATTGTCCGGTTTCCTTTTTAAATACATATACATGGAATCTGTATTTACCGCTCACATGTATATGGCTCAAGTACAAAAAGTGTTTCAGGTGTTCTGCTGGTAACTTTAGGCTGTTGTTGTTGCATCGAGTTCTTGCCAGTTGGTGAACGGTGAATTCCAGGGTGACTTTAGGTTATCAGCCGTAGCCTTTTCCCGCCATGTCTAGACCTTCTGCGATGACTCTCGACAATCCTGCAGATACTCCTCGCTCCTTAGGTCTAGCCAACCCAGCCACGGCTAGTGGTCCGCCAGGGACTGCCACGCCGGCGCTGACAGCACCTTTGGATAACGCCAGCCTAACCGCTGAGGCAGTCGCTGTCCTTGATGCAGCACAGCCCAGGTACCAGTGCCTGGCTCAGACATGTCTCTTGATCAGGACGGTGTGACTGGACTAGCGACTCCAAGTTTCATAGATGCAGGGCTCCATGTTACTTCCAACCAGCTTAACAACCGCCATCAAGACCAACGTTCTGTGACTCTACATCAGATGAATGTCCACATTGCCCATGATCGCACGGGTGATCTAGAAAATCTTGCAGAGTCCAGGCATGTCCAGTCATAGGCAAGTGTTGATGGAATATCAGTCATCCTTTAGGGAGAGGATCCGTTTTCTGGAAATGGAAATGGAAGCTAGACGTTTGGGATTACACTCCGAGCATGCCGTCGCCAGCAGTCAGTTTGCTAATGCTATGCGTGAAAGTCAAGCAAGACCCCAGCATGGCAAGCATCAACTTGATCAGGCTCACAGTGTAGGGAATCAGTATAAGGCGGAAGTGTCAGAACTGCGCAGTGCACTGCTTCGTGCAGAGAAGTCCTCGGCTGATCGGCTTTACCAGTTTCAGGCACAATCCCGCCGGGCGGAAGCCCAGGCCCGTATCCGTGATGAGGAACATGCTGCGCAGGTTAAGGCATTATTTTCTATGATTGCCAATCTTAGAGAAGAGCGTGATGTATCTAGGATAGGGCAAGAAGATGGATTGGCAAGAACTCCTACTCCCGTGCCTGGTAGCAATGCCGCAGGCCCATTCGAAGGCCCCATGCTTGGGTCCGTGAATCCTACTGAGCATTACAACATCTCTTCTCCACCAGGCCTCAAGCCTGGGCCTCCTCTGCCAGGTTTCGGGCCCGCCTTGCGGAGATGGCAATGATGACAACGATGATGATGATGATGAAGAAGATGACGGAAGGCGTAGGCGAAAGGACAAGATAAACAGCAAAAAGAAGCAGAAGAAGAAGAAGAAGCGAGACTCGTCAAGCGACTGCTCGTCTTCTAGTGACATTGCAACTTAAAGATTGCCAAGGCCCTGAAGAAAATGGCTAAGTCAAAGAAGAACAAGAAGGACGATAGTGATGATGATGGCACTGACAAAGATGAGAAGCCTAAGAACAAGCCCAAAGAAGCTGAGAAGACAGTCTTCCCCAAGTTCCCTCTTCCAGAACAGTACCGCAACTGGAGGATCCGTGTTCGTGAGGCAGTGGTTGCTGCTTCAGTTCAGCCGGAGTTGCTTTCGATTGGTTGAGCGCGGTTTGGGATAAGGATACCACGGAAGAAGCTCTATGCGACCCGAGAGGGTTCGCTACTTTGGATGCCAAAATTCTGTCGGCTGTTACAAATTTTCTTGAGGGAGACTTTGCAAGACAGATGGACACCCTTAAGGAGAAAGAGGCTAATGCTAACAGGTTAATTAGTGCGAGGTCGTCAGATCTTATTCAAGCTCCATGAGTTCTTCGCGACCAATGCCCTTCAGGGTTCAGTTCAGTCCATGATGTAGAGGATCTACTCTCGGTAAGTCTGGCGAATCAGAACTTGGTCATTCTTGAGGAGCTGGGAAACCGTTCTTTCAGGAATTCAGAAGTCGCCGAATGAGAGATTCCTTGAGCCCCAGACTCTTTCATCGTCAGGTCAAGAAGTGTAGAACGCTTCAACATGATGTCAACATTTATGACAGAGCTGCAGAGGGTTCAGCGCAGCGGTCTTACAAGTTCCTGCATGATGCAGCTAATGCTCATGCTAACCGCAAACGACTCGAAAAGAATCGTGAGAGGATTGCCAGGCAAACAGGCCCTCCATCTGCCCCAGCTGCTGCCCGCGTGCCGAAAGGCTACTGCTTCTCTTTCGTGAAGAATGTTACATGCAACAAAGGTGACAGCTGCAAGTTCAAGCATGAGGTTCCCCAGGAGCGTGGTCGCCAGCCAGGTAAAGGTACACCCGAAGGAGGACGCTCTCGTTCGCAAAGTAGTACCGGAGGAGGAAACAAGGTCAACCAGATTTACAAATTCTTCAAGCAAGGTAAGTGCGATGGAGGAGTGATTGTAGATTCCTTCATAAGGGCAAGCCAAGCACACCTGCTGCGTCAGACGCTGAATCTGGAGGGAGCAAGAGGGATAAGAGTCGGAGTAGTTCCAAGAGTAGCCGCAGCTCGAAGAGCAGCAAGGGAACTCCCCGACCTTCGATCCGGCCGCCGTCTGCCTCCTAGGAGCTATGCAGCCTGGTTCGGCGCCTCAGGCCGATTCATCGGTTTTCCGGTCAAGTTTGCCAGATCAGTATGCACACAGTTCCGGTCTTGCGTACCCAGCACCTGCTGCTGTACGTTTCAATGATGTTCCTGAATACACGAACGTTCCGATCAGGGGATACGGAAAATATGAGCTGACAAAGATTGGTGATAGCCCGAGATATTATGACTTCGGATGTAAGCGTTGCATTCCCGCCCCGCGGACCTAACGGTCGCGTGCCCCGCACGTAGTTCCAGCAAATTTCCTACTTTGGATATCGAATGGGTTGGGGACACGGGAAGTGCACACGACCTTATCTCAGAGCGCGATCTTTCAGGGATGAAGGCGAGGGCTTCGGATCATCCAATTAATATCATGACAGCCAATGGCCCCAGTTCGGCTGACAAGCAAATTGCAGTCAATGTTCCTTCCATAGGGATAGCGTCAGATCCTTACGTTCTTCCGGACACTCCAGCTGTTCTATCATGTTCTATCAATAGGTCAGAGATGCATGGATGAGGGTTACGATTTCGTGTGGAAAGCTTACAGCAGACCATACCTCAAAACGCCTAAGGGTGAAAAGATATCTTGACGTCAGGGATATTGTTCCTTAACTTAAAGCGTGGCCTGAGAACGCTGCGGTTCCTGCTTCGCGTACACCGCAATGTTCCGTGCAAACGGCTGCTGAAAGGAAGCGTCCGGCTCTGGAGGAGTCAGAGCTGCGCGCGAAGAAGCTCCTGGCAGATCAAGACTTCAGTCACAAGTCGTGCTTGGACGTGATCAGCAAGGCGAGGTTCAAGGGCCAAGGTGCCCAGCATAAGGCAATCACAGCAAAGCACGCAGACCTAACGGTTCTGCGCAGTACGCGGTCTTAGGTGTCTATTGTCATGGTAGTGTCACTGGCGTCACAAACAAGACCAAGGATCATCCTGAGTTGACCAAGTACTGATGCGCGTATCTTAAGTCCAAAGGTGTCGCAGAGCCATTTTCGTCTATACGCATAAATCATGGGTCTTCAGTCAAGGTTCACAAGGATGCCTGTGACAAGTACGACTCTGTCAACTTTGCGATACGGTTAGGAGATTACAGCGAAGGAGGGATCTGGATTACTGATGACAACGTTCAGGGAGACGGCGTTCGAAAGAAACTGCCAGATGGTTCCATGGGTCTAGGTCGAATTGTGGATACCAAGAACAAGCTTGTCAGCTTCAATCCGAAAGATTACTACTGGTGTTGAAAAGTGGCAGGGAGATCGATGGTCTATGACCGCATACACGAATAGGGCGTGTCACAAACTGTCGAATGAAGAACACAAGGTGTTGCGCAGACTACGATTTGTGGCCCAAAAGACAGCACTACCTACGTCGCCCGCTCCAAAGCCTGGTGATCCTAATGATGACCTCACCCTACTTGAATTCTATGAGAGTGACAAGACCAAACCAATGTCGATCCCTCCACGAACCAAGCCCGAAGTGAAGATTAAACCTTCGCCGACGAAGAAAACAAAAGGAATCATCCATCCTCCCTCAGATGATTTGCCTGAGGATGCCGATTATATTGCAGGTTTTCTCGATGAGGCGACAGACGTCGAGCTGAAGTTCCATCGGGTAGTGGTCGACCTCCGACAGGACCGGTCATTGCCCCAGATGTCGGAGCCGAGCCACCTCCTGAAAAGCCTTTCTCAGAAGCTCCACCTTCTGTGTCGAAAGCAGAAGAAGAAAAGAGAAGTAGACGGATTGAAGCACTTAGGAAGCCAAGTCTGCTAGACATCTTTTGTGTCATACGCCCAAGAATCCTTACTGCGAAATTTGCCAACAGGCCAAGATATATGTACA